AAAATTACGTCGACAATGTTTGGCTTTCGTGTTCTTTTCGTTGGGCAAAGTGCACGAGAAAGCGACAAGTGCTCAACATTGTTGATACCAACAATGGATCAGAGGCCCAAAATAAAACCTTCAAGTACCAGTACCTGCCACTTTCACTGGATAAGTCTGTGTATGGTCTCTCTGTGATGTTAGTTGAAACCTACATCCCCGATTGCCATCAAAAGTATCTTCAGCGAAATGTGCAGCTGAGTAGCGCATACAGGAGATTCAACACAACAGTACCATCGTACCTGCATGATCGGCCGCCACACTTCATTAAACATTGACACAAAGCAAAATTCAGCTCGGGAGATTTGAGGGAGTGCGATGTTCTATGTGTAGACATGGTAAAGGGGATTTTTTCCGTACGTAGCTCCTTGCAACAAAGCCGCTTTCACGAGGTCAACTTAGGAGAGCCCAAGTGTACGTGTGAGCAGTGGGAGAAATTTCACTATCCATGCAAGCATTTCTTCGGAGTCTTCAATTTCTGTGGCGATGAATGGAACTTTGAGAGTCTTCCTTCTCAGTACCGTGACAGTGTTTTCATTACACTGGACAATGACCATCTGACAGGCTCAAAACTCGATGAAGCTCAATCTACAACTGAATTGCGATGTTGACAACGTGCCGTCTGAGGTAGCAAGTCAAGAACTAGCCACATATAGCCAAGCCCGTAGGCTTGGGGGACTCGGGGGGTTCGGAAGACATCCCCTCCCCAGCTACTGCCTGGAAAGGTCCGCTCAGTGGCCTACTCACAAATAATTTGACCGGCTTAAAACATGTCTCGCACGTACAAAAAATATTACTGAAACCTTAGTTGTGAAAACGTGACACTATTCCTGCAAATGTCACGACTGTGGAAAGGAAAGAATAGACGATCATTTTATAATAAGAAGCCTTTGAATCACCTTTGAATCACCTTTGAATCACTGAGAAGGTGGGTACTTCTTTTTCTGATACGCAATTGCAGTCAGCTAATCATAGTGAAAACAGGATGGAAATGTACAGAGCGGCCATGCGTCCAGCCTCTTCACTTTCTCCAGGAGGATAGTTACAACTGTGGAGTCATCATTTGTCTGGTAATTCTCTCACTGACACAAATTTCAGGGTTATGTCGACAACTAGCGAAGTTATTACCCTTGTGTTGTTAACTGAATAAACCCAAGTTCTTTGTATTTATTTTCCTTTACTTTACTATAGTTTGCCAGACGTCTAGCTAAAAGACTTAACTGCAACGGAAGGTTCTCTATGAGAATGGAGAGACAACGGATGGCCAGCACACTACTTGGATCCTGCTACAGTGATATAGCGAGGTATATTTTACAATAAGGCAAAAACGCATGTGAGAACGATCTTCGCAGTGAGCAGCACCGTTTTACGAAATTAAAGCCCCGTCTACACGAGCAATTTTTATATGGCAATTTTTATGTGGCAGTTTTTATTTGCCCGTATAGATGATGAAAAATGACCAATTTTTATGTGACAACTGCATTTGCTGAAAAGCTGGCGTGTTA